AAAAAAAATGTGATGAGTTAAGGACAGAATATGAGATGTTATCACAGTTTTTAGTACAGTTCTGCTATTAATTAGTACAAAATTATCCTTTCTTTTAGGAAGAATTACACTGAATGTGGATAGAATGTGAGGCAATCAGCTATGCCCAGGTGCAGCCCTGTGCCTGAATAGAACTGATTGCATGATCAGGGCCTAAATTATTTACTATGGGCCAGATTCTGTAAGTGCTCTTTGAGCAGAACTCCCACTTGAGTCAACCAGCATTCCACATCCAGAGGTGATACAGAACCACACCCTATGTTTTTAATGTTCTTTTTAAAGCACCACCAGCTCTTTCTGACATTTTGATTTCCAATAATAGGACTTTTGCGCAGTAATAGTATAGTAAGACCTGAACAGTAGTCAAAGCCAATAACAGCAAGACAGGAGCTCCTCCGGGAGGAGATGGGTATTCGCATTTCTCCTGAGTTTTAGGTTTAAACAAAAGTATCTTGTTGCTTCACTCAAACAATACAAAACATAAAAAAGGAAAGAATGACAAAGTTATAAGTAGGAAGTTATGAAAGACAGGACAAAACATGACGCATCTGTTCGGACTTTAAGTGGCAGTATGGTCTAGTGGTTCGAGCATGGAAATAGACGTCAGGAACTCCTAAAGTCTAATAGTGACTGCCACTGGCTTGTGACTTAGGTATGGGTGAGTCATCTGGGGTAATGTGATGTTCAAAAGTGTTCAGTTTTCATTTCCTTCAATGGGAGCCGAGCTAAGCCAGTGCAGAGTGCTTTTGAAAATCTCTTGCTTGTAGCTTCATTTTCAGAGGTCCTGAGCACTCACAATTGCCACTGACATCAACTGGAGTTGCTCAGCTATTAAACTTTCTACCTCAATTTTCTCAGATCTAACATGCGGCTAATAATATTTGCTTCATCACATGGCTGCTCGGAGGATTCATTAGATGAAATGGGGTTCTGTTCTGAAAAGTGACTATAAAGATGATATTGAAGGGTTCCAGGTTTGTTGTCTCTTCATTATTTCCATATCAAATGTGTACTGTTTACTATTAAAATGATAGAAGTACTTGTGGCACCTTAGAGACTAACAAATTTATTAGAGCATAAGCTCTGTAGCCCACGAAAGCTTATGCTCTAATAAATGTGTTAGTCTCTAAGGTGCCACAAGTACTCCTGGTCTTTTTGCGGATACAGACTAACACAGCTGCTACTCTGAAACCTGTCATTATTAAAATGATGTTTTCTCTTACTACCAGCCTTGCAGATGGAACCCAGGAACCAAAAATCAAACTGGTTTCTTTCCCTCTTGTGCACAATCATCTGTAATAGAGGTTCTGGCAGCAAAATTCTTCCTTCAGTGATACCTGTGCAGCCAGGTCGTCTGCCAGTTCTGCCTCTGGTGACAAGTGTGTAACACCATTGCTTTCACTGGGGTTGCATAGATGTAACTGATTGGAACCTAGAGCACAATTCTGTTGCTGATGCACTTGTAGAAGTAGAACACAATTCCCGCTGGTTTAGCTGTATTGGCTGTCCAAGGCTAACAAGTAGTACACACTTATTTTTGTGGAGTAATAATTAGTTACGATTTTGAATACTGGAGGAGAGCAGATCTGTTGAGTAAGGTAATATTTTACCTAGTCACATTTTTTTTAAAAAAAGGACATTTTGAATACCCTATAGTCCTTTACATTTTCAAAGCACTATCTACATGTGTTAGGTATTACCAAATCCTATATTATCTAGTTTCTTCTTTAATGATATGGATGAAGGAATAAACAGTGGGTTTATGAAAATAACAGATGAATTGAGTGAAACTGTGAACACCAGTAAAGACAGGGGAGATAAGAATCCCAAGAGACATAAAGAGATTCATCTTGGGAAAAGGTAAACTGTTACAGCTGAGGGGAAAGAATCCAAAATAGGCAATCAGTTGGAGAGAGACATAAAATGAAATCAAGAAACTGAAAAATTTAGGATGAGTAACAGCAAATAAATAAATGAAATGCTGACCATAAAACGTATTAGACTGTAGGAAAGTCTCAGGAAAAGTGATGGGAGCCCCATTGCGTGACAGATTTTAAAACAAGGCTTAGTCGAGTATTATTCAGACTTGGACAATAGGTGAAAACGCTGCATTTTCAGGAAATAAATTAACTCCCGTGGGTGGCCTTTTCAAACGCGGTCCACCATGCCTTAACTCTACTCCCATTAAAATCAAGGGAAGTTTCACCAGTGATTTCAGTGGGAGGAGTTAAGCCAACACTGAGCTATTTTGAAAATCCTGCCCGGTAGTCCTAGACCGTTTTCTTCTTTGTGGGTCAAATTCTGGGCCAGCTGACACCTTCCTGCACGCCCCCTTATTTCAATAGGCTGGTAAAGGGGCCGGGTGACTCTCCAGCTGTTCTGCGGGACTCACTCCAATTATATACCCTTTCTCCCCATGGTCTGCTCCCTCCTCCTCCTCCTCGACCGCGGAGAGCCCTGGCTTAGATCTAAAACGCTGGGGTCTCTCCTCATAGGGATCTCTAGGCTCCGAGGAGCCCAGGAGCCTCTCTCCGTGTGTTGGGGGCGGGGGAATAGGGGGCTGAGACAAGGGCCCAGTGGCAATAGGGCGAGGCACCGGCGGAGGGAGGACTGGAGGGATGTCACAGGCTGAGCTAGCGCAAGGCAGACAGCTGGGTGACTGGGTGCTTTCCTGGGGAGGGGACGGGGCTCCCTTCCCCCCCAGCCACCCATCATCAGGCGTCCCCCTGCTCCAGCCCAGCAGCCAGAGGCGCCGCTCCATTCGGAAGAGCCTTGAACCCAAACAAAGCTGCACTAGGCCGCTGGCGGACGGAAGGACTCTGCGCCCCTGGCTTCCTACAGGGGCTGCACCTGTCCGGGGCCGCGTCCGCTTCAACCGCCCCAACCTCGCCGCGGCTCCCTGTCCCTGCCCAGCGATCGCAGGCTCGCTCCACCCTGGGGCCCCGGGCCCGATCCTTCCGCGGCTGAAAGCCAGGGGCCCGCGGTCACCGGGCGCTCTCCGATGTGGAGCCCACCGCAGGGGGCTGAGCTCTGAAATTACCGCGCGGTAACGCTGCGTTATTCACAGAGGCAGCGGGCGGGCTCCCCCAGTCCTGTCCTCCCGCTGCATTTCCTCGGCTCTCCGCCTTGTATCCCGCTGCCCCGGCCGCTCACAGAGTAGCTGCACTAGCTACTGCCCCGAGCTCTCTGCGACTCCCTGCCCCTCGGGGCAGCAACCCGCTCGGGGAGCAGGAGGCCCGAAGGACCAGGCCATACAGACTGCGCGCTAGTGACCAGTGCAAACCTTCACTACAGCCACCGAGTCTCGATCCGAGTGACATGGACATCCATCATCTAGAGCCATCTAGTCTCGAGCTGATGTAGGGCCACAGAACCTACATCAGCTCCCACGGCCTGCATCTCAGTCGTCTTTAGCTCTTGATACTCATATAGTCTGCAACTAGCCAAATTCACACCCATATAATCTAGTCCCGCAGTGTCTATCTAAATTATAACCAGATTCCGAGGCCAGACGGGACCGGTGTGATCAACGAGCCTGATCTCCTGCATACCACAGGCCTGAGAATATTTTATATCAACACACCTAATCTATGTATATTTATAGCCACCTAATCTATATTGAATCTCATTTATACCCATGTAATATACATATATATAAGTGTGTGTTTGTGTGTGTGTGTGTGTGTGTGTGTGTGAAGATAGATTAGATGAAGCTATGGAATTAAAGTTTGCACTTATAAAACACACACACATGTACAGTTCAGCTAGCAACAGTAGAATAAACCTTCCTGGTTGGCTACATGAGTAAGTTCTTCCCCACAGAGGCAAAGAGGCTGGGGCCCGACCCATCGCTTCGCACAGTCATAGGTGTATCTCAGTGATTTCCGGGGGAATGGGATCCGGCCTCGGCGCAGCAAATCCATTATTAACGAGTCAAAATGAATGAAAGGAGACACACGGCGGTGGCAAAGGTAAAGTCAAAACGTTAAGCAGAGACATGAAACCCAGGTTTACTTGTTCAAGGCTAGTTGCAGGGCCAGATCCTGTGCCTTTACTCACAGTACATGTCAATGAGCGTATCCGCCTGGGGCAATGTACTCGGTGAGGATGAGAAATTAGGGTGAAATCCATTCTATTGGGTTTTTTTAAATAGTAGTAATAGTTCTGCCCAACTTTGCAACGTGACATACCAGCCTTATTGCATGCAAATAGCGTTATGAACGCTCTGCCCCCGTAGTCCAAATACACGTTTTTGCTTCTCTCTATTGCCTGGCCTTTCTCTGAACTTTTCTTATAACTCTTTTCCTCACAGGAAAGCGCGCGCGCACACACACACACACACTTTCCCTCACAGGAAAGCGCACACACACACACACACGCACTGCTGCCATCACAAGATAATTGCACTTAGCTTCTCTCTAGCGTACTCGCATCACTGTTCAACCTGGTTTAAATTACCATCACTGCTGGTATTTGTCCCATCAAATAGTTGTATGTTTACAACTTCTTCTAATTACCATTTATTTGACGCAGATTTGTGTTGTTTTGCTTAATCTCTAGCCCGGAGTAGGAAAAAAAAAAGGCTCACATGAGGACAGAAAAGAACCCCCAGCTCGGGGAAGACAATCTGGCATGTTTACCTTTGCTCGCTCCAGTTGCTGGGCTCGGGTTTAGCTGATCTTTAGGAGGCCATAAAGGCAGAACATGGCCTCTGCCCCCAGCCAGCCCAAACCACGCTACAGATCCAGCTACACGCACGGGGAGGGATAGATCCAGCTACACTCATGGGGAGGGATAGATCCAGCTACACGCATGGGGAGGGATAGATCCAGCTACACGCATGGGGAGGGATTGGGAATCCTACCCAAGACCCAGGCGCCGGGAAGGATTTCCTTGCTCCCCTGGTGCTGTCGGTCCCCCCGTGGCCCAGTGGCCGTCCCAGGGCAGAGAACGGAACTTACTTAAGAGATTGGCTTCATGGGAGCCGTTGACTTTGCCATCCGGGTGGATCTGCAGATGGAAGCCAATGCCCACCCTGCAATAGAGGCTGCCCGTCCTGCGCCCGGATGGGCTCCACTGGAAGCTGCTTCTCTCCGGATCGCTTCCTTGGGCTCCCAAGGAGGCGGAGGAGGAGGAGGGGGAGGAAGGTGATGCAGCGGAGGAGGTGTTGCTGGAGCTGCTGGCACTGGCCGCCTGCCCGCGTTGCGCTCCGGGGGGCAGTTGCGCCAGGGCGCTGGTGAGGATCAGGTGGCTGAGGGAGAGGAGGCAGCGGAAGGACAAGCTCATTCTTCCAGCCGGGAGGGTGCCCAGCGCATCTTGCGAGCCAGGCTCCTGCTCGGTCTGCGCCGCGGCACGGGCTAGCTGCGCTGGGCAGGCATAGCTCCCCTGGCTGCAGCGCGCGAGGGAGATCCGGAGCGCAGCGCTGGCACACGGAGATATTTATAACCCGGGTGATCTCACTGGTCGGTGCACGCCTGGAGCCGAAAGGAGGCTCTCTCCTCCATCCGCCGCTTCCCGGCTGCGGGGCTGGGGGAGCCCTGCGTGGCCCCGCGAGGAAGAGGCGAAGGGCGGAGGGGAAGCAGCACCCATGGGCCCTGGGGGGGGAGGGGTGCGGATCGCACCAGAGGCCCGGCTGCGCCAGCGGCTCTTCACGCACCAGCGGGCTAATTCCTATCCAAGGGCAAAGGCTGCAAATAATTCATAACGGGGACGGCAAAATGGGCTCCCCGGAGAGGCGGCGGCGGATTGGGTCGCTGCCATAGGGTTGGGGGGTGGAGGGGGGGGATTCATTCCCCTCCTCCCCCTTAAAGATGCCGGCTCGGATTTTAAGCACCGGCCCCAAATGATTCCTAGAGACCCGCGGCGGAGTGGGGGTCCCGTGGGGCTTTCCCGATGCTCGGGCGGGCTGTGCATTAGGGACCCAAGGGAGAGCTTCCACTCCGGCTGGCGATGCTCTGCCAAGCTGCCTGGGGGGTGGGGGCTGAATGGGAAAGGGGGGGCTAACTTCGGAATTGGGGGTGGCTTGCAAAACGCAAGGGGCACTTAGATACGCCACTGGTGCGTCTCCCGGGGGAAAGTGCTCCTCGCTCACCTTCCGTGTCACAGATCCGTGCAAGTGTTATTCAGCGCGTGCCCATCCGGAGAGGCAGGCGTCCAGGCATCCCCCGTGGGCGTGCGTGGCATACAGCACCACTCCGGTGCGTGGCCTGGTCCCGCTGCCCCTTGGCAGCAGACATGTGGGAGCTGTCGCTCCCTGCGGCTCTGCAGTTCCGGGGACCACACTGAATGATTGATGACAATGCGCACACGGGATGCAACCTTAAGAAACCTGAGAATAGCGCGTTTCTCTGTATGCAACGCCCGCCTGTCATTTACCGGAGAAATATACCTTCCTGGCACGCTGGGAATGGCTCTGCCTGGAAACATGCTGAAAGTTTGAAGCCGTACTTCTGAGCCATTATTCCTCTGGCACGGTAGTGAAAAGGGCATGCTCCTGGCGGAATACGCCAATGCACAGAAGCCATGGCTGATACTCAGATACGGCCTGATGCATTATTAAGCACGGATTTAAAGCTTCCCGTTTCAATAAAGAAAAGCATATAAAAGACATACCGATGTTCTAGAGCTGAAATTCTCCTGTTGGCAGAGTGCTTGACGTAAACCAAGCTATAAAAAGACATTCCTGTACTTGCAAAGCGCCAAAGCTGCTGTCGGAAAGCGAGGGGGGGGGGAGGGGGAGAATACGTGTGTGTGTTTGTTTGTGTGTAGCTAGAGAAAAAGAGAAACCCAGTCCTGCACTCACGGATATCAGTGGGTATTTCAGTGTGAAATAATGCAGGATCCCAGCCTTCGTGAGAGTTTGGTGTGAGGAACGTGGCGTGGTATAGGTATATATAATTCATATGTAATATAATTCATATGTAATAATTTATACCTGAACATCTATACCACGCCACATTCCTCACACCGAACTCTCACAAAGGTTATATATATATATTCCATATGCATGCATATATATACATACATATATATATATATATATAAAATTTTTATATAAATAAATAAAATATAAATAGTATATATGCATATGTAAGTATATATATACATGCATATGTATATATATACATGCATATATATATATACACAGATGTATATATACCGACATCCATAAATTATTTCATATGAAGTATAGATAGATTAAAATACAATATAAATAGTATATGTGCATGTATGTATGGTGTCTGTATATATAATATACTGTATACAGATATATGTATGTATAATATGTGTGTATATATACACACACATGATATATATGCCTACATACATAACACACACACACCCCTCTACAAAATTACCCCCCTAGAAAAAAGTCTGCGTTTTTCCATTGCAGTCTGTTTCAGATTTTGTGTCCTTCGGAACAACAGGTATGGTCTGAATATTACGGCTTGAAGCAGCTCAGAAACGCTCATGCAAATAAAATAAACACAAAGCTCCTTGCAATGCAAGCATGCCCCCCGGGAGGAGTGTTCTCGTGCCTGTTGTTTATGCAGCGCTTGAAAGGGATTTTTGCACAGTCGATCCAGGAAAGTGTAACCCCCACCACCCCGCACCCCCCCGCCAAGGGTTGCTTCAGGTGTGTTTATTAATTGGAATCAAGGCCCATCGCCTGGGGAAGGGACAGGACCAGCCGTTTTGTAAGGCAGAGTCGTTTAGTTTCTTCTATTCCCACCTCCCTGATTTTAAGTCAGCTAATGTAGTTGATACAACTCAATTAGTCCTAGAGGCCCCGATCCGAAATCTTGACCCAGGCCAGTCTCCCATCGACTGCAGCGGGAGTTTTGCCTGAGTAAGGACTGCAAGATCAAGCCCTCAGTATCTTGCAGCCCGTTCTGCAAGCCCTGACCAACTACCCGACTGAGGACTGCGAGATGGGGCCCATTGACCAAGGTTAACGTTGTCTGTCGTGGAAGTTCCTACTTACAGAGACACCAGGTGTCACAAGCCAGGAGACTGAAGCTTGGATTAGTTCCACAACCCCTCCCAGCCCCCAGTGGGGCCAATGGGATCTTTATCTTCGATTTTAATGGGGCCCAGAGTGCCACCCTCCAGGGATACCACTTAGCAGCGACACAATGAAACGCCAAAGTTTTGCAAAGTCTTATTTCCCCTTGGGAAGGGCAAAGGGAAGCCCAAACACTTTCATTCCCACCGTTCACATGCAGCACAAGTCAATGCAAACTCAATTCATTCCCTGCGTGGTCTGCTTTAAAAAAAATAAACAAGCTGGATGTGCACAGGATGCAGTGGTAAGTAAATGAGACCCATTTCTGAATGGACAGTTTTGAATCCCATTTTGCAACAGTAAATCTGGTGCAAAGAATAGAAGTTCCTTTTGAAAAGTCAGATCAGGCATAGAGCGCTGGAAGGTGATTTTTCAGCGCCGTGTTAACTTTTTGATAACACGACTGTTGTGCTTGTAAGTGGTGGCAAAATAACTGTTAAACCTCCAAACAAAAGCAGCCTAAAATAAATGAAATACATACAGAAGAAGTCTGTAAATGGCCTATTCTCCACCCACAAAATGTCATTACGGGCATATATACTCCTTATACTACACTTTCCCTGTAGCAATACAATGACACAGGTAATAACCAATTTTCCTGTTAAAATAGCAGCTCTGACATTTTTGAAACCCACATATCATATCTCAAATTCCTGTAGAGAGATCAGAGTTAAAATGTGTCCATTTCGGCATAATCACGGCTTGAGACGTTCAGAATCGGAGTTAGTTACAATGTAACTTTAAGAACAAAGCATTTGTACCTTTCCTGGTCACACTTTCCAATTTTACTATGACTTAAACATATTAATTGCTTTGAAATGAAAACTAGGAATACAATTCAATTCCTCCAGAAATGATTCTATAGATCCCCCTAAAGATAATAATGTTGATCTCAAATTGGAACGGTGTTAAACAAGGGTCTACAAATTGCAACTGCATTGGAATATAAAAGTAGCATTGGAATTGCATTCCTGAAAAGATAAAAGAATTAACCTGCAGGGGCAGTTTTCTCAAGACCGCAGCCTGACAGATTAAAAATGTACAAGAATATTAGCAGCTGCACAACAAGCACCTTACTATTACTCGCTATTGCGTCAATGAACTGCCATTATTCTCCTCCGGAATGTTTCCCAGCCTATGTTTAACGCGATTCTGTTTGCCCATCTCGAGCACTGAGAACAGAAGTCACAATCAAATCAGCCGTGGGAGGTGATCCACACCAACCAGTTACCTTCTGCTTCTCACTGGGATAAACCAGACCTCCTTCGCCCCCATCTCGGCTCCAGCTGGAGAAGGATGCCCCGATCCAAACCCCCCGAAATACCGCTGACCCCAAAGAGCCGACTCACAAGCACGCCACGCGCTTCCGAATTCGCACGGCCATGTGTGTCTCGGCCCTGCCTGAGCTGGGAGGTCTTCTGGATCCGGTCCGCCTCTCACGGGAATCGGCGAAAGAAGCGGCGGGGGGCGGCCGGTCCAGCCCGATGCTTGGGACCCACCACACTGGCGGCAGCAGCAGCACACAGCCGTGGGCATGAGGGCACCCACCCAGAGGGAGGGGGAATTCAGACACAAAGAGTGGGGGAGCCGAATGCATTGGAGGGAGAGCTAAATCCAGGCTAGAGACACCCTAGTGAATCTATTCTATTCTATCTATGAATCTAGACAGTATTTGGTCCTGCCATGAGGGCAGGGGACTGGACTCGATGACCTCTCGAGGTCCCTTCCAGTCCTAGAATCTATGAATCTATTGGGGGGGATTCCTGGGGGATTCCCCGTGTGGCCCCCCCACCAGCCAGCCAGCCACGCCGGCCGGTGCCTTGCAGCGTGGAGGGCGGCGGGGGGGTTATTTCAGGGAGCGGAGGGGATAATAATTGGTGCTGGGCCCGTGGGAGGCGTCATGCATTCGGTACCCACGCACACCCAGCCAAAGAGCTGTCACTAAAGCAGAGGGGTAACAACACCCCCTCCCATATACCATGAAGGAGCTTGCTGTACATTCACCAGAATACACTTCAAGCCCTTTTTAAAGTAGCCACGGAGCCAGATTCTCCCCTGGTGTAAATTAGCTAGTTCCACTTGCTTCAATGGCCGATCTCCGCCGGCTGAGAATTTGGATCAATGTCTCTCAGTAATCAGCATCAGTAGCCCAGTAGTAAATGACTATCTAGATTCTTTGGGAGAGGAAAAGGGGGTTATTTTCTATAGGGGGCGACCTGGA